TCTAGATAAGCGGGATAGACAATCATGAATAGAAAACAACAGGACCGATAGTTCTGGGGGGATATGGGAGAGGGGGAGGTTGGGGAAAGGAACGAGGGTGCCAACAAACCCAGGGGCAAGGGAACAACAAGAGATCTAAAATCGATGGCGAGGAGGGCGTAGAAAGCCTGGTGGGGCTTGATCAAGGGCAACATAGCCGAGAGGAATTACTGAGACCCGAATGAAAGTCTAACATGATAGTGGTACAAGAAGAAAGTAAAAGGAAATAGAGGAAAGGACTAGGAAGCAAAGGACATTTATAGAGTCTAAATACAGGCATGTACATATGTAAATATATTTATATATAATGATAGAGAAGTAGATCTATGTACATATATTTATATGTTAAGTGTTAAGGTAGCAGGCGGGCAATGGGCCTCTACTCAAGTACTCCCTTAATGCAAGAACACTTTGCTCTAATAACCTGGCATTCCGTGATGCTCACCTTCGTGACACGATTGTTGAAGACAAAATGGGTGCATAAGCAAATGTGGTGAAGAGAGTGGATGGTCCCCGGCTATCAAAAGATATAGTGCCTGGGATCTTAAAGGCTTGAAGATAAACAAGCGGCCATCTAGGTGAGAAGAAACCAAGCCCACATGGAAGAAGCATAATGTATGATAATGAAGTGTAGATGAGATCAGGTATCAGGCATCAAAGACCCAGGACAAAAAAATCATATCAATGTGAATGAGGGGGAAGCCAGAGTGGAGACCCAAAGTCTATCTGCAGGCAATTGGACATCCCCTTACAGAAGGGTCACAAGGAAAAGGAGCCAGTCAGGGTGCAGTATAGCATCGAGGAAACATACAACTTTCCTCTAGTTCTTTAAAGTTTCCTTCCCCCGACTATCATGACTCCAATTTTACCTTACAAATCTGGCTAGACCATAGCATACACAGTGGTACAGATAAGAGCTGGAAACACAGGGAAGCAGGACAGATGTACCCTCAGGACAAATAATGAGAGTAGCTATACCCAGAGGGTAAGGGAAAGGTGGGGAAAGGGGGAACCGATCACAATAATCTACTTATTACCCCTCCCAGGGGGACAGACAAGAGAAAAGTGGGTGAAGGAAGACAGCGGTCAGTGTAAGACATGAAAAAAAATTATACATTATTAAGGGTTCATGTGGGAGGGACAAAATGAGTGGATACCAAGGGCTCAAGTAGAAATAAAATATTTTGAAAATGATGATGGCAACATATGTACAAATGTGATTGAAACATGAATGTTTGTATGGATTGTGATGAGGGCTGTAAGAGCCCCCAATGAAATTATTTTTTTAAGTGTGCTTTTGCTAATCTAAGGTGCAAATATTGATGATCTCTCCTCACCCAGAGGAAAGAAGAGTGATGAAAAAAGAAAGACACATGGAAACAATTAGTCTAATAAACTAATGGGCCATGCAAACATGAGTCTCTACAATCTTGAGACTAGAAGAACTAGAAGGTGCCTGGCTACCACTACCAACTGCAAAGGGTCACATTAGAAGATTCTGGATAAAGTGAGACAAAAATGTGTATCAGAGCTCACAATCACAAAAGAAGCCAGGCTTATTGATAGGATATAGACTGATGGGTCCTCAAGACTATAGTCCTTAGTTATCCTTCAGGTCTGAAACTGAACACACCCCAGTGTTCAAATAATCAACCAATTAAGATAAAAAAGGCAGCATCTACCCAAGAACAAAGAATTAGTAATGAAGGAAGAATGGAACCAGGAAACATAGGAAGTGGGATAATAGAAGGCATTAAAATGGATGCACTGAAACAAAATATGCATGCATTGTTGAATGTAAAACTGATTATATATTCTCTAAACCTTCAACTAAATCACAATAAAAAGTGAGGGAAAAGTGTCTTGGCTATTCTTGGCCTTTTACAGTTCTAAAGAAATATTAAAATCAGCTTGTCGAATCAGAGACACACACACATGAAAATACACATATGTTGGGATTCTAGTTATTAGTTTATTGACTATCAATTTGAGAAGATTGCCATATTATTATAATTCATTAACAGGATATATTGCTCCATTTATTTAGGTCTTTTTTTTACTCAATTTTTACACAATGGCAGTGAGTTTTGGAATGCTTTCTTGCTGGTATATAGAAAAATAACTGATGTTTTTATATTGTCTTACAATCCTGCTAAACTTAGTTATTAATTCTAATAATTTTTCTGTAAATTATTTCAGATTTCTATCTATGAAAATCATTGTTGGCAAATGATTATACATTTGTATCTTCCATTCTGGTCCTTAAATCTTTGATTTATTTCCCTTGCTTTTAGGCCACAGCCAGGAATTCCAGTACAATTTAAATAAAAATAATTAGAGTGGCTATCCTTATCTCCTTCCCATCCTTAGAGGAAAAGCACTTAGCATACCGCCATTAGATACGATATTTGCTTTTCAGATAGCATATATTACACTATGAAATTTAAATTTGCTACATTTTTTGTTATGATGAATTTTTTTGCATCCAGTGAAATTATCATACAATTTTTCTCTAAGCACCTAGAAGAATTTGTATAAAATTAGAAAAATTGGATATTTTTTCCTTCAAATATTTGGTAAAAGTATCATTGAAAGTTCGGGCCAAGAAGTATTTTGTGAAAAACTTTTAAAGTTATATATTTAATTTATTAATATTTTTAGGATTCCTCAAAATTTTTATTTATTCTTATGTAAGTTTAATAAATTATGCTTTTCCCCCAGGAATTTTACTATTTTATCTAAATTTTCAAATTACTTAGTATAAAGTTCTTCATGTATTTTTAGCATGTCTGTGACCTGAATTGTACTCCTGTAATTCCAAATACTAGTTATGTGCCTTCTTTATATGTTTTCTAAATTAGTCTCACAGCAGGTTATCATATTCCTAGTTTTTACAAGGAACCAACTTTTGACTGTGTTGATCCTTTCAGTTGTTATTCTGTGTTCTGTTTCATTGATTTCTGCTCTTATCTCTATTACCTCCTTACTGCTACTTTATCTAAGTTTAATTTGCTATATTTTCTAGCTTCTCGAAATGAATACCTAGTTCGTTGATTTTTGGCCTTATTTTATAATATATTAATTTAAGGCTATAAATTTATCTATACGAATAGCCTTAGGACCATCCCACAAGATTGTTTATGTAATACATTCATTATCAGTTAGTTCAAAATATCTATTTTTCATTGTGATTTCATCTTTGATTCGTGGATTTTTTTTCTTCCCCTCCAAAGTATAGTACTCAAACTTCAGGAGGCATAAAATAGTCACTGGAGGACCTTATCAAAATGCAGGCTCTGGGCCTGGAGAGGTGCATTTTACATTTTCGCTAAGGAATTCAGATACAGGAGGGTTCCAGGACCACAGTTTGGAAGTAGAGTATGAATGTTCTAAGGGCAGGGGACAAGTCTCATTTACCCATATCTCCCATGCCCAGCATTGAGCACAGCATAAAGCTACTCGTATGCTTAATAAGTGAATTAAGAAAACAAATTTAATAAAATATCTTATATGAAAAAAATTTAAATTTTGAATGCTACAATTAAGGGAACCTCAGTGGCATCATTGGGTCCTAATTTAATCTTCCTGAAGAGCGGGTGGGGGAATTCCCCCTTGTCTTCAAATTTCTGCCTACCAAGCTTCTTGTCTGTCTGGTCCTGCTGGCCAGGGACCTGACTTGGGTGCATCTGTGTCAACTAGCCTAGAGAAGAAAGTGGTGGCAGAGACTGAGGGGCTGTTTTAGAGCTGGGCAGACACTTCCCTTCCCCACATCTCTCACCAGACCTTCCATGCCTTGCTTGGAAATATGCCTACCCCCATTGTAGATAAGGTTATCTATCCTACCTCTCAAAGCATTAGCTAAGCCTCTCTCCCATGGCAAATTTTTTGAGAAACTTACATCAGAGCTTTCTGTCCCTTTGCCCAACCTCAGACAACCACCCCTCATCTTCTGCCTCCCCTTCTGCACTTGTAGTCCATGTGAATTGCTCTCTCAGCAGTCTCTTGGTGATCTTCCCACGAATCTAACCATGCCTCTCATGAATTTCAGAAAGGCCAGATCCTATCTTCCCAAGTGGGATATTGTCCTCGCAGCATAGCAGCCAAGTTAGTATCTCCAGCCAGCCAGCCAGCCAGCCTGCAGACTGCTCCCTGGCGCAGCCAGCCCCCCTTTCCCCGCCCCGCCCCAGGGAGGACCAGGCTGGCGACTGGGAGTCACCCTACCGGCTCAGTCTCCCTCCTCCCCTCTCTTTTTCTCCCTGCCTCCCTCTCTCCTCCTCCCGCCCCTGAGGCAGGGACCGTGCAAATCAAGGAGAGGGGGGACAGACTAGCCAGATGGGGTCTAAACGAGGGCCACAGACTCCCCGTTGATGCCCATCCAGGCCGAATATCCTCAGAATCTTGGAGCCTGGATTTGTGTGAGCTGGGGTCGTTCTCAGGTCAGAAGAGTGCTTCCTGCAGGCCCACGGTGCCTCCGTTTTGCATCAGGACCCCCCTCGAATGCTCTGAGCCACCCTCTTCAACCCGGATCTAAAACGCGGACACAGCTATCAGGCCAGCCTCTCTCTTTACCCCACCCCCTCTTTCTGGCGTCCATCCCCTCCCCAACACCACCTCTGCTGCTGCCTCTGGCTGTGGACCTGTACCTCATCCCCGGCCCCACCAGGACTGGTGTACTGGATGAGCCTGGATGAAAGCCCCTGAAACCTGGGGATCTCCCAGGCCACAGTCGGAGTGCTTCCATGGAGGATCTCCAGACCCTGAGCATCTGCTAGAGGCTTGGCAGAGGCTCCGCGGGGACTGTGTCTTCTGAGGACAAAAGGCATCGGCCAGCAGGCAGACAGGGGTGGGGGTGGGGGCAGAGGGGGATGTGGAGATGGAGGGGGACCGACAGCCTAGCGGGGAGACCGGTAGCAGGGACAGCGCTGGCCCCCCTCCCAGCTTGGCGGTGTCATGAACATGGGGGTAGTAATGTGTAGTGGGGGAAGCACCTGCCAGGCCCCTCCACCTGCCAGTTGACTGGGCACCCCAAGGTTGTGGGATGCCTACCTGGTGTTCTCCAACACCCCAGTCCTGTCTGGTGCACCTCTCCCGGTGGTTGCTTCCCCTGATGCCAGCGATTTAGACCATCCCTGCTGTATCCACGGCAACAGAAGCAGGAGTGTTACTGGTCGCCAGATCACTGAGGGTCCCACAAACGATGTGGCCTGGGTTGTGATTTACCTTGAATGAAACAGCTTGAATCCCCTTTCTGGATACCAAGGCAACCCTGCTGAGAGAGCCAAGGTAAGCAGTCAGCACCCCTCCACCAAGGATGGGGGCTGGGACTTATCTTCTGTCTCCCCACACATGTATCAGTTTCCACCACTGCCATGCTTTCAGTCTCTTACTGCCTGTCAGTCTCTCTGTCTTTCTGCTAGCCCCAGAGCCTGGGCATTGCTCGAGTCATCTCCATCTTCCTTAGTCTCAAATATCCCATGAGAAAGGAAACCACCACCTGTTTCCCCACACAGGATTTGTTTTTATCATTATGGTCATGCTTGGGCATGAGGCTGTGTTAATATTTCCTTGTGTGCTAGTAGAAGGGATGTCTTGGGGCTGCCCTCACAATGTGTGCACCCTGGGCAGGCTGAGCTTCTTGCAGCAGCCTCCTCTCCCTCCTTTCCCTCCTCCTCTACACTCCTCCAAGTTCCTTGGCCTGCATGCAGTGTGTGTGTGTGTGTGTGTGTGTGTGTGTGTGTGTGTGTGTGTG